TGATTCACCTGTAGCTGGTTCTGCATCACCGTTCCTCCCAGTTTGTGGTAGAGGGGCGAAGTTTTTCAAGGGATGCTGGCAGCAACCTTGAGAAGTCACTGGTCCAGCCCCTGATGTTGAGGCAGGACCAACTTTACCTATACCATAAGGTAGAAGGTACTGTACTTCAATGATGTATGGTAGTCTGAACACCTTTTTGGAGCTGTTCCAAGTGATCATAAATTAGAGAAGTTCTGAAGATGGGCTGAAGAGGCCTCTGACAGCCCTGGGTCTTGAGGGAGGACAGAAGTAGCAGGAAGTCACCTTCCCTCCCTCCTCCGTTTAGTGCAGATTATCTAGACCCGTGGTCCCCAACATGGCGCCCGCGGGGGCATTTGCATGCGCCCGCCAGGTGCTCGGGGCTGGCCTGGCCCCGGGCACATGGCGCGGCGCTTGCGGGGGTTAAGCGCCGGCCCCGGGCGCGCGGCGCTTACGGGGGGGAGGAGCGCCGGCCCCGGGCGCATGGCGCTTGCGGGGGGGAGGCCCCAGCCCCGGCCCCGGGGCTATGGGGGGGGCCCCCAGCCCCGGGCAAGTGGCTATGGGGGGGCCTCAGCCCCGGGCATGCGGCTATGGGGGGGGCGCCCCCGGGCACGCAAGTGTCCCCGCCCCCTGGCGCCCGACAACCTCAAAAGGTTGGGGACCACTGATCTAGACCCCAAGGCTGTGTCTACACAGGCGCAATCTTGCGCAAAAGCAGCTGCTTTTGCGCAAAAACTTCCTGCCCGTCTACACTGGCCGCGTGTTTTTGCGCAAGTAAACTTACATTCTAAAGTATGAAATCAGGGCTTCTCGCGCCAGAACTCTGACGCTCCTGCTCAGGAATAAGCCCTTTTGCACAACTGTTCTTGCGCAAGAGGCCAGTGTAGACAGGCAACACGAATTTCTTGCGCAAGAAAGCCCTCTGGCTAAAATGGCCATCAGAGCTTTCTTGTGCAAGACAATGTCTACACTGGCATGTGCTTTTGCGTAAGAGATGTGCTTTTGTGCAAGAGCATCCATGGCAGCGTGGATGCTCTCTTGCACAAGAAAGCTCTGATGGCCATTTTAGCCATAGGGCTTTCTTGCCCAAGAAATCCCTGCAGAGCGTCGACACTGCCCTCTTGCACAAGAGCTCCTGGGCAGGAGGGCTTACACCTGTTAAAGAGTGTAGCTCTTGCAAGAAGCCTTCTCTTACCACACAGTATTGTAAATCTTCTTGCGCAAGAGCGGGTGGGCAGTATGGAGGCTTTCTGGAAGAACGGCTTGCGGAATAGCCTGCCAGTGTAGACATAGCTCAAGGATTGTAAACCATGGAGTTTTGATGAGTAGTTTAGTCTCTTCTGTAGGAGAATAGGTGGTAGGATCTAGGTTAATACTTTAAATGGTGTATTTTGGTGATTGTAGCTTCCTTTAGTAAAGATAGAGCCAAATCCTGCTCAGTGGGTAATGTTAAAACAATGGGATTTTTTATCTGAGGAAGGGGGTATAGGATTTTCTTTCTTGTTTCTGCTAGAATTAGGAAAAAAGTGATCCAGGATATAAGTGAGCTCTGTTTGTTTGTTTGTTTGATTGATTGATTGATTGATTGAAAGGAATTCAGTGCTTCATTCTTAGTACAGTGGTTACCACAGTTGCACATTATATCACGAGGGAAAGCAGGCCATATACAATATGCGCCTACATATCCTGAACATGAATAGAAGATGTCTGCATTGAATTGATAGAGTAAGAGACCTTATTAGCTAAAAACTTCAGAGACCCAGTTGTTCTATGTTTTTCTACCAAAAGCTTAATCTCCTAAACAGTCATGTAACTATTAGAGAGAATGCCAAATGCTGGGTTAATACAGAATTTAACATACTGAAGTAGTGGTGTCAGATAATTAGCACGATAGATTTTCCAATAAAATTGATGGTATAAGCCATTTATTTTTTATTTTTTTATAGAAGACATTGTAAAATCAATCTGAAAATAACATATCAAACTCTATAGCATGCTTGTAATTTTGGTTACATTGGTTCAGAATTGTTTCAGGCTCATTTTCCTTCAGTGCTCTTCTTCACCTTAATTCTGGCTTGCTTTGAAAAAAGTAAGCTGCCAGTGAGTGGTTCATTAATATCCTCAATTTGATCAAGAAGTACAGTGTCATGTGGAGAGAGTATTTTCACAAATAGCTGTTTCAAACAACTTTTAGATTTAGAGTGTTTTATTGTTTGAATTCTTCCGTTGATTAACCTTCCTAGCAACAGCATCATGAATTTTTACGGATTCCCATTTTGTGGTCATGAGAACTCTATGTTTAGAACAAAGGTACTGTACATGAAGATGAGCAAAATAATTCACATTTATTATGTAGTGCTTTTTCATATTTAAGGCACTTTACACACTTTATTGTTTAAAATTTGTATTGTATGCAGCATCTCCAGCAGAGGTTGAAGCTCGATTTTGCTAGCTGCTGCCATTAGAACACAAGTGACATACAAAGAGTTGGGGAGAAGTATATAATCAAATATATTACAACATTTATTTACACAGATATACTTTCAGTTTCATATATAGTTACTTTATCTCTGTATAATATCTAACAAACCACATTTGTCCCTCAGTATCTCTTTAGTTGACCGATTTCTTATGGTTGACATTGTAGAAATGGATGATAATAGGAGATTTAAAAGAGTGGGCTGTGAGTTTCCCTCTCTAAATGAAATTTCACAACCAACCTGTAAGATTCTTTAAGGAATGTGTATTACCTTCATTTTACACAAGAGAAAACTGAAGCAGAAAATGGAGGGTCTAGTGCATAGTCCAAGCTGGTGTCTGAGGCAAAAATAGAGTTTAAGGCTTTCTTATTCTGAATCATGTGCTTGATCCTGCATCATCCAAGTCAACAGTTTTTCCAATCAGTTGATTGTAATCAGGATAAAGTCATATGTGCTTTAAAATACAAGACTGAGCCACTTTCAAGTACTGGTATAATGACTGAAATAATTGATAAGATAATGACCAGGTAATTCTCTCAAAGCATTTAATACAATTTTTTTTATATAAAATTGGTGTGAAATGCCCAGAGTTTAGGATGGGTAGAGCCCTGCATGGATACAAAATTTGTATCTGCATGTGTACCCACAAAAACGAGTTGCAGATATTCACATTGACAATTAGGGATGTGGACCCCCACAGAAATAAAGTGGGTATCTACACATTTTCAAGATTCTAGAAGCAAAATTTGTATCCCCATCCATATCCACAAAAATGAGCTATGACTAGCCATATCCACCTCCATGGATATGGATACCTGTGGCTATAAAGTGGATATCCATGGTTTTGCATGGCTCTAAAGATGGGCACTTAATCGATCAAAACAAATTACACAGTGTCTTTCACCCAAATCAAACTGAACTACAGACCAGTTTAACACTGTGTAGCAAATAGCGCTGGGTAACAATTTTGGATAGAGAGCGCAGAATGTCCTGCTCACGTGAAACTGCAGTGCCTTCTGAAAGCCCTGCAAAGAGAGAGGATGGGGGAGAGTGTGGGATAATCTTTTTTAGAGACCTGGTATAAAAACAATAACCTGCTGATATTTTTAAGGTGGAGTTTGTCTGCTAGCACAGCTAAACCTGGTCTTGCTTCTGTTGTTAAGTGGTCTATGTCCTGCATAGAATCAAAGTAAGCAAATGATTCTTAAAATCCTGTCATCCTTGGACAGGCAAAGGTTTTATTCAAGCCACAGCAGGAACTCTGAGTAAAAATGTCCTGGGGCTGCAGAATTCCCTTCCCCACCCCATTTCTCTACTTTGTCTTAATTCCTAGTTTTTCTATTCATTCCTTTCTCTTACCTTGCCATAATGTGCGTCTTCCCTGTTGCATTATAAAGAGGTCAAAGGCATTTTAAAATGGATGACTGCACCAATACAGGAGGATATGTGAGACAAGGGAGTACACTGTGACTGAAGGATGAAATGACACATAGTTTGGCTATCACTGCAGAGACGGCTTGGATTGAAGTGAAATATAGGAAAGGCACAAGCGCAATCACAGGAAACTATTATAGATCTCCAAGGGCAGAATGAAAAGGCAGAGCAGGAAACATTTATGCAGATAGAGGAAGCGGCTTGTAAAAAGGCTAGAATGTTAATCACAGGGGATATATTCAAGGCTCATCAGAGAATAAATTGCAGCAACCTTTATTGGATTTGAGGTGGGAGAGGCTTTAGAAGGAATTTGCGCAGTCCGTATGAAAACTTAAAGATGTTACTTGAAAGAAATCAGTCAGCAGATAGATATACATTATTGTTCCATTAAAAGGCAGATAGGTTATTAACACAACTGACACACAAGGACCAGAAGCGAGAGGGTAAAAGCAAGGCAGTTGAAGGGGACAGAAGTAAATAGTGAATTTGCTGTCCTATACAAATGAGCCCATGCCATGTTTGTACCATGAATGCTCCTTCTGCTTTGGTGTTCTGTATGGCTGATTCTTAGACGTCTCCTTATGGTTAGGTCTGTATATGTGAATGACATAAGATTTCACCCACGGGTGCATCTTCACAGCAGGGCTTAACTCAAAATAAGCTATACAAAATGAGCTATGTCAATTGTGTAGCTTATTTCAAAATTTGGAGCATCTACACAGCACTTATTTCGAAATAATAGGGAACTCTTCCTCCAACTTCCTTTACTCCTCGTACAATGAAGGTTACAGGAGTCGGAGTACGAAGTCCTTCAGCTTGACAGTATTTCAACATTATTTTGAAATAACTGCCTGCAGTGTAGACGAGGACTAAGTTATTTCAAAATAACGTTAGTTATTTGGAAATAATGTTGCTGTGTAGACTTACTCCAACTCTCATTAAACTCAGTGGGAAGCCTCCGATTGAGTTGTATGGGAGTTGGGTTGGACCCTTTAGGAACAGAACCTCAGCTGCTACACATTGTTCTAGCTCTAGATTCTGGAAGATTCAGTAAACAATATGAACACTCCAAGAGACAAGTAGGAAAGGATTTTGTAAGTATGTGAAGGAAGAAACTGCAATATATTATAGAAATTCTAAGCGCCATCATATTCAGAAAGAGTATTTGAAAAAGGGATAAGAGATCAGCCTCAATGGAGCTTCTGCATATGTTTTCGCTAATCCTAAACAAACTGTTATATTTGGCAGGGTGCCATGGAAATCAGAGGGTATAATCTAATAGCTGGGATATTAGGACCTATAAATGTTTTAAGTATGCAGGAGGGAATAAACATATGGAATACATTACTTTTCAAGGCTGTTCAAAGAATACTGGCAGGACAGCTTCAAGGCACAGGGTGAAAATAGGGAAGAAGATGGAAACCATCTTAATTCCCTGCTTCCTGTAACATTTCTTGTAATCCAGTTATGTTAGATATTCCAAAACCATGTCTTGAAGCCGCTGCAAAAGCAAAGCAGTACCAGTCTGAACTGTTTTCTTTATGTAGCTATTGATATGCCTGCCAGTAACACAATATCCATCAAGCCAATCTATTTGGATAACTTTAAATATCAGGACAGAGTCCTGGAGGTGGACTCTGTATTCATTGGGACCGAATGCAGGGAACAGAGCACCAAGATGATGTGTTCACTGTCACTCATCTGGCTGAGCAGAAGGGTTTTGTATTTGTACGAGTTGGAGCACTTCAGAGTGTGTCGGAGTTTGAAAAGGGCGTGTGTAGGTCTGACTTGCAGTAAAACTCTAGATCATGAATGTATGGATCACTGTGTCCAGTTCTGTGTCTGATAGGGTGAGGTGCAATTTTCTGGCCATCCATAGATGGAAATAGACACTTTTTGTTACCATGTCCGTTTAGCAATGAGAACAAGTCCAAATGAACCCCAAAGCTTCAAACTGGCAATATGAGAGAACAATCTTGTGATAATGGGGAGAGGACAAGGCAAGTAAAGTTATTCCTTCTAATGGACAGCTGTTCGTCAACCTGGTGCTGATTTTTGTAGCTGGGATATGGTGCTTGTTTATCAATTCTAGATTACATATGGGGTAATGGGCAGGAAGAAAAAAATAAAATAATAAATCAGTTGGTACTCCAATGATGTCAGAAATGTGAGAACTTCACTGTTGTGGTTTATTGGATTACAGGGAAGTAGATAGATTCACAGAATGATTTATTGTTGGGCTATGCAGGAAGAAGGACCGGAGATATTGGATGTGGTTTAATTAGCCCTCAATGTTGTTATTAACTGTCTGGGAATGCCCAGAAGCTAAAAGTGCACAGTGCAGGTAATTTCATGATCATTTCAATATATATATCTGGGGTGCTTTGGTCAGCCCCCCCTTCCAGTCCTGGTCCTAGCTTACCTGCTTTGGAGACCTTACCATTCCCACCTCAAATGATGGTTAAGATGGGCTATAAAGAGGAGCAGGAGGGCTGGTTTCCTGCCATGTTGGTCATAGGAGCCATACATCTAACACCTTGTTCCACAGCAACATGACAAATACCTCCTTTGTATGCTTTACCAATCTATTTAATCTGAACACTGTCTCCCGTCCCTAAAGAGAACCTGCACTGGGCATCACCTTTGGAGAGGTGCCAGCAATTACTTTGGCTCCCCCCCCTCACATGTAGCCAAGTTCTGGGGTATCTTCTATTGCCCTTTATTATCATACAAAAATGAGTCAACCCCCAAATCTGCAGGTGAGCCCATCCTCCTTGAATAGTTCTGATGCCTCATATGCTATGTCCAGATGTGAAATTACTGGTTCATCTGTGATGCCCCCATAAATTTGGCCACTTCCCTAATCACTACCTCCTAATCCTCCTAAACTCTGCCACACCCTGCATTACAGCATGTTGGATCATACAATTTTTACTTCCTGGAAATGTTCTTGTTAGCTCTGACATTAACTATATGCCTTTTCAAATTTCCAAATTACTGTCCCCAAGGTGAACCACAGTTATATCTGGTGTCCACTCAGAGGTCCCCCAGTGTACAGAAAGGGCATCCCCTGGTGCCATAACACGTCCCTTCTCCAGTGCCAGTTCAGGACTGATTCACTACTGAGGTCCAGCTGCAAACCTGTAGACAATCTGGACACCAGCCTATGTACTCAGTAAACAGTTTTGTGCAGATCCATGCCACATCCTTTCTGGCCTACCTATCCCCATTTGGAATGAAAATATAAGGGAAAACTAATACAGATTCCCCACTACAGATACATTCTATAGGTTTCAGAATTACCCATTGCTTGAATTGCTCTTGCCCCCTATACCTGGCTAGGATGCTACTGTTGCCATCCCAATTCTGAATGAGTCAGTCCCAATAGCATAAGTACCCTTCCCAGCACTGTAAACAGACTTGTTTATTGTGAGAGGACTCCTGTCCCCATGAATAAAGAAGTGCCCATCTCTTCCTCGTTTTATCACCATGTATCTCCCCACAGCCTCTAGAGGGCAAATCCTCCCCAACTGGATTCTATCTGACCCCCTGGAACTGTTTTTGATGTCCTCAAGTTTAATGTAACTGTGTACCTCTCCCAATGTATATCCCTCAGTTTCAAGGCCCTTCCAGAAGAATCCCTACTGGACTCAGCTAAAAGCTCTGATCCTCAAAACTCAAAAAAATCCAAAACAAATAAAAAACCCATTACCAGAAATGCAGCCGTGAGTAAGGCCATCGCCTGTCCTCAGCAGCACCAGACCTTGAAGTGTATTAGCAGAATGGGATGATGTGTATCGTTCCTGGAGCCAGTGCTTTACTAGGAACTTGTGAACCAAAAAACTGCTGCAAGGATCTGGGTAACTATTCAGCCTGCTCACAAACATAAGGACTTGATAGGCAACTGGAGATAATGGAGGATGCCAACTGTTGGCTTGCTGACATCACGATGTACTACAGCATATGTTCCTATTTAATAGGCCCAAATCAGTGGCCAGTATTCCATATCTTGAAAGTGCACAAAATGTTTAAAACTTCTCTCATAGCTCTGCTGTGTTTGCGGAGGCACCAACCTCTGTGATAGGCTGACAGCCATTATATGTCAAGGTTCCATAGTGCATCTGTTCAGGTTTCTTGTGTATTTCCAATGCTAGCTCCTGAAATCTGTCCATCTGAAAACAAGAGAATGTATCTTCTGTGCTATTGTCAGCTCTTGGCACATACCTGACAGAGAAACAGATTTCAAAATGTAAACGTTGTAGCACAAATGGCCGTAACACCCTAATAGCCCTGTGTGATCTGGAGGTCCTGCAACTGATTACCTCTTCCACATTGTCACCAAAAACCTTTTATTAAAAAATTCCATTCCCCAAATGACCAATGTAGCCAAAATGGAAAAAAATTCCAGAAGTGTTGTATCATGCACTGTCCCTTTTTGCTTCTTGGTAGAGGGTCACTTCTGGGTGCATCACCTGCCTTGGTAAAATGCCCCCAAAACCACAGCTCCCAAATTGTCCAACTGCATTTTTAAATCCGCTTCCAGTATCCATTCCTCTCTCCATAATGGTGCTCTATTAAACTGGTTCATTAACTGTTCCCATGCCCCCAAACCATTCATCTCTCAAGTAACTCCTATAAAATGGTAAGTTCTTGTTGCACTGCATTGGGGCTAACACCAGGAAGGTACAGTTAATATGTCCAATAATACACTGCAGCTCATGGAGGGGGATGGGATGGGTCAGCATTGCCATGCAGACCTGCTTTGCAGCTGCTGCAAAATCTTAGTGGTACACACCTTTCAGCAGCAAGCTAGTCAGTGCCCCTCCCCACCCATACCTCTGGCTGGATGTGGTGCAGTCATTGCCTATGCAAGGCAAAATTTTTTGGATACAAATTAGTTTTAGTTTACAAATGTAAGTACATTTTAAAACTAGGGTTGCCAGGTGTCCGGTTTTGAACCGGACAATCCAGAATTTGAGCTTTCTGTTCAGGGAAACAAATTGAGAAAATATAAATGTCCAGTATTTTCTAAATAAGATATAATGTAGATTGTGATGTAATGTCAATTGTGTCTGGTATTTTTGTTGAAACCATCTGGTAACCCTATTTAAAAATGGAAACCAACTTAAAATGTATCCATGTGATTCATAACAGACGGAATGAGCATATTATAGAAGGGGGTTCTTTCCACCCTTCTATAATACATAGTTTTCATAAAAACAAAATTTGTTTCTAAATTAAATTAAACTATACATTGGTATGGGCAGCATCAAAATATGGAGAAACTGCACATTTAAGCACCTACCACCTTTAAACATTTTTCCTATCAGATTTTTAACTATTAGTGTAAACATATCTCTGAAGTGGGAGCAACTCAGAGATCATAGGACTGTAGCAATCCCACTGTGCTGTAGGTCTTTTATGTTCACAACTGCCTGCTTTCTCTGGTACAGCAGTAGCTGTTCTCCTTTTTCTTGTCTCCTTCCTTCTTAAAGCCCACCTCCGTATTTCCCTCAGTCTCTTCAATCAGGTATGCACAACTCCTTTCCCATGTACAGCTGGCACATCTCAACAATACCTCCCCTCAGGTGGCTGGCACAGATGTAGCCACTAAGTGTGAGCTGGCCAGCCACCTGCTCCTAATGATTCCCCGATAACTCTTCCACTTACTACTGCTGCTTTCCCATCTACCACCTGCTTGACTCTCCTTCCCCAAACACATCATCTGCTTCCTCCCACAGTATTCTGTATTCTCCTGTTTCCAGGAGTCTCCCCACTTCCACACAGCAACTGCTGTCTACCCAGCTCCCTCGTCCAGCTCAAGTCCAACAGCTAAGGCTAATTCTATTATCATTATCATCATCATGATTCATAATTGAGATGACCATGTATTGTCCCACCTCAGCTTCCTACTCTACCAAAGCCTTGTCTCAGGCCTCATATATTGACAGGTTAGTATTAGAGATGGGCTCAAACCAACATTTCAAACCTGAATGACCTGCTAAAATATGGGGCTGTTTGGAGTCTGAGCCAAAGTTGGCCCTGTTGTGCCCAGGTGGGGCCGTGTTGATGTCACCACATCTGTGTGGCTCTT